TGAAAGGATAAAACTAACCCCAAATAACTTTACATGTTGAAACTCCAACACTATTAAAGAAAACACAAGAAAATCCAGTACCCAGTATGTAAAATACACCATGCCTAGGATCCAATAAAAAATTACAGCACATGAAAAGAAGCAGGAAAATATGGTCCATGACCTGGAGGAAAATCAATCAGTAGAGATGAGAGAGATGATGGAACAAGCAGACATGACACTGGAATAGCGATAAGAAAATGAAATGAGGAATAAAGATTGGAAGGGAGGCTAATAGCTGTTATTATTTATAGATATTACGACTGACTATGCAAAGAATCAGCAGAATCAACAGATAAGTCCTCACAACAATCCTAAGAGGTAGGTGTTTCCATTACCCACACTCGAAGGACGAGTATACTAGGGCACAGAGTGATTAAGTAACTTGCTCAAGGTCACACAGCTAGAAAGTAGCCGAACTAGGACTTGGACCCAGCTCCAGGGATAGAACCAGGGAGTCTGGAAAGACTTATAAAAATTAGTAACATTTCTTTACACCAGTATCAAACAAGTAAAAAATATAATTGAAGATAAATTATCATTCACAACTGCAATCAAATCTATAATGTATCTGAGAAGCACCACAGAGAATACACAAGATCTTATTTGTGAGATGACCATAAGATTTATCCCCCAGTTGAGAGTGAAAGGGAGAGCTAATGGGAAGGGACAAAGGGGACACTGGGACTGTCCCAAGCAAATCGAGATATATGGTCACCCTATTTATGGAAACAATTGCAGATTCTATTAAAGATCCTAAAAGAAGATCCAAATAAAATAAGAAACATTCCATCTTTTTGGAGGGGAAGACAATTCTCAAATTAACCTGTAAGTTTAATGCAATCAAAACAGAAATTTTAGGAATTTGATTAACTTATTCTAAAATGTATATGCCCTCCAACATCCTCCAGGTTTAAAACTGTGCATCTGTGAGTTTGTAATGAGCCCATCATAAGGACTGGGTGTACGTGGTTGAGTATCCTGTTTCTGATCACAGGTGCACCCCAGCCTCTCAGGACAGCTGCCTGTGACCAGAGCTGACACCTCACTCCATTAACCCATCAGCTGTGCAGAAACAGTAGGAAGGCAGGAAGCTCACATTTGTCTGTCTGTCTGTCTCTCTTTTCCTCCCTGAATCAGTCATACAACTCTTTCTGAATTAGTCACACAACCATTCATTCAAGGTGGAGCTCGGATTAGTTAGGAGGATCTTCTATCTGAGAGCAGGATGCGAACTTCCAAATGGCTGAAGCACACATTGGCTGCTCATGTGACACGGAGAAGATCTCAAGAGGAGAAACCTACAACAGTGCCTGGCCCAGAGAGCACACTCCACAAAACATCCCCTACAGGAGGAAGTGGATGGAGAAGAGGGAAAGGGAAGGATGAGAAGGGCAAGGAAAAGAAGGAAAATGGAAGAAAGGGAGGGGACGTGGGGAAGAACACTAGAGTCGTCTTGGGAGGCCGAAGCTGTCTCATTGTCACAGCTAGCTCACTGTGGTCACAATGCTGTGATGGAAAGGCACGGGGAAGGAGGCAGACACACCTTGCTCGGTGTCTTGCTCGACCCCCAGCCCTACCACTCACTGACAATGTGATCTTGGGCAATTCTCCCAACATCTCCGGAAGGAAGAGTCCAGACGAGGCACATATCAGCCTGGAGTTGAGAGTTGGGGGCATCTGACACGGATCCTAGTAAAGAAAGGGGGCACTCAGCATGTGCTCCCAGCTTGCTCTGCAGCCCCCGCTGTGAAGCCAAAGTCCCTTTGGGTCAGCACACTGTCAGCCAGGCTGGGGCTTTGCAGTGGGTCCCTGGGCAGTGGTCAGCAAGACCCAGCTCCACCTCTACGGCTGCGTGAGCTTTCAGGGACTTCCCAGTCCCGAAACATGCTCACAGAACTCTCAGCTGCTGCCTCTCACACTGAGGGCTGTCATTTCTCTCTGCAATTACCCTGCAAATGAAAAATCTGACAACTGCTGCTCGGATGTTAGGAGACGCAATCGATCAATTTCGGGAGGCACATCAAAGCCGCTGACTCGGGAGCACCTATTCTATTGGCACTTGCCACAACGAAACAGCTGATTTTGAAGATCACCTGTCATTAAAAGGTCACAGCTGACAAATGCCTCTCATCTGCCTTCCTCCGGATTACGGCGCATATGGAGCTGCTCTATTATTGGAAAAAACTAGCACTGTAGCGCACTCTAAAGTTAAAAAGCACCTTCCTGCCCAGTTGCTCCTCACAAAAACCCGTGACTAGTGGGTTATGATTGTCACAATCCTCATTTTACAGATGTGGGAGCCAACGCACGTTTGTCCCGCATTGCTGTGGAAATAACTACATTTCGTGGGAACATTCCCGTCAATTGTGGTCAGGACATTCGGCTGAGACGCGGCCTGGCAATGCCGAACAGAGAGAGAGAGCTTTAGGTTCGGGTGCTGGATCTGCCCCAGCCTGGCTGCAAGGACCTGGGCAGACTCATTAACCTCTCTGGGACTCAGTTTCCACATGTGTAAAATAGGGATATTGATTGTTCCTACTTCTTAGGGAAGTCAGGAGGGTTAAAGCACGTAATGGACTGAAGGAGAGACAAGCCAGCAGAGTGGCAAACACACAGGGTCTGAAGCCAGACGCCGGGATGTGAGCCTGGAGCTGCTGCACCTCCTCGTGCTTCTCCAATACAGGGGTGACGGTGGCTTATTTTATGGGATGTGTGATGTCATTAAAGGAAAAAACACGTGAAGAACTTAGCTCTCAAATCACATGAGCTCTTATTAATATTTATATATAACATCTAGCTGATATATGTAATATATGTACCTATTGCAAATGTGTGATATATATGTATACATAAAGTGTTCAGCAAGGTGCCTGGAATGCCACAGAGCCTCAAAAGCAAACAAGAAGTCAGCACTATTCTTATTAAAATGCTACTATATCTTAAGAGGGGAGTTAAGTTCTTAAATCATTGCATAAGACGAAAATGAAATGTAAATCACCCTTGAAAATGCCAGTCCTTCCTCCAGAGCTGGGGTAGATGGCTGCGTCTTCCGCCCACGTGAAGGGTCTGGCTTGTGCTGAGGACAAATGTACGCCTCACATGGAAGTGAGAGAGGTGAGCTCGGGGCAGGTGGGCTGAGTCTCGCTCAGGGAACCACGGAATCTTCTCACCCAATCAGTCATCCTGTCCCTCTCCTCCGTCAATGGCGCAGGTGAGACTCAGCCCGTCTTCTCGGTCCGGCACTGGAGACCCTTCCCCCTTGGGTCTGCTCTCCCAGCCCCTCGGGAGACCCCGCACTCCAGCAGCCCAGCCTTTCATGGGGCCGCAGGTTCTCTAGGCTTCCTCAGAACTGGCACCGTGTCCTCCGGCACGGCTCAGGCTACCCATTCTCTCCGCCAAACCAAACCCCAACTTTTCCTTCTTGGACAGCCTCCACCTTCAGTCAAACAGAGGGTCACACACCACCATGGATGGGAGGAAACACCCCACTCCGACCCCCATGCCACTATTCCCTCCCTGTGACGGGAGCTCAGTTAGCGTAGTTCCTGCCTCTCCTCCCCGCTCCTCTCCTCCTCCTCGGGGAACTGGGAACACACTGGGCGGGCTTGCTCAGGTCTGCTCCGGGATCTCCACCTCTGCTCTGCTCCCCCAGGGCAGGCAGCCCCCGGCCCCCTGGGGACACCTGTGACTGGGTGACTGAGTCTAATTCCAGGGTTGTTTAGCGAGCCCATTTGGCTCTCACACTAATTTCTATCTTCTGAATTAACCTTTAACTATATGAAAGATGATATTTTCACCTCTACCTGCCTTACTTCTTGTCTTATTTCTCAATTTTATATGGAACACGAGTGGGACTAGGGGGGCCACTTCTGGGGTCCCTTAAGACATCAACCACCTGGACACACCTGGAGGGAGCCCTTGACCTTGCCCAGAACAGGTTCTATGGCTCTTTGCCAGATCATGCATTTGTGTTCTGAGAAATACACTTACATTAAAAAAAAATAAAAATAAAAATCAGGCAAAGGACATGGAAAGAAGGTAGAAAGAAAAACAGCAGCTCAGAAACAGGGTTTGACGTCCATTCTCTGAACGCACTCCTCCTGGGAACCTCTGCTGAGGGCTGGGGGAACCAGCGGGCACCAGGCAGTGCAGACACGGTGCCTCCTCAGAGACCTAACCTGGCTCTCCTCCTACAGTCGACCACACCGCCCCCACGCCCAGCCCGTCACCATCACATCAGCCTGTTCATTTCCTTAGTGGCGCTGACCGTGGCCTATAACCTAAGTGCTTTTTGTCCATCTCCCCCAACTAGAATGTGTCCCCAGGAGAGCAGGGGCCAGGATGGCCTCAGTCATTGCTGCAGCCCCAGAGCTCGATACGATAAGAGGGGACACCTGAGGACAGAGGCAGCACCTTAGGACAGCTAAGAACAAAGTTCCTTTATCCAGGTAAAGAAAGGTGGAAAGTAATTGTGGGAGGAGGGAAGAACACGGATGAGCACCAAGTGGTCGTGCACGGCGTGTGCAGGAACGCACACTATAGCTAGGGAGTGAGGGGGACAGGGCTGGGGAGGCAGGCCAGGCTACTTGTGGGGGCACGGAGGAGGGGGCGCAAGACAAAAAGAGAGATGGAAGTAAAGCAGCACGTGAAAACGCCTCAGCCCAGCGCCAGGCACAAAGGTGGCAGCACCTACGGGCAGTGGAGGCAGCAGAAGTGAGGTCTGAAGGATGAACCGCAGACCCCCAGGTGGAGAAGTGGAGGAGAAGATCCCAGACAGAAGGACCGGGTGGAAAGGCCTGGAGGACAGAGGTGAGTCCATCTGCAGGACCGCAGTTGAAAACCACGGTGCTCGGTGGAGACGGACAGCAGTAGCCCCCAAGGGCCTGTGCCCCTGCACATGGGGTGGCCGTGAGCCCAGCGTGTGCGGTGAGGAACAGCAGATGAGCAGGAGCACTGACCTTTTCAACCAGGTCTCCAGAGGCCTGTTCGTCAAAGAGCTGGATTTTATCTTGGATGCACTTCTTCAAAAGGTCTATCTTGCTCTTACTCTTGGAGCGCGGCTTTCTCGCCTTGGACTGTTGCTAGACAGGGTGAGAGGAGACAGCGGCAAATAAGTGCCCGCCAGCAAGTTCACGCAGCCTCCGAGTCTCCCAGAGCCAGGAGAAGCTTCTGCAGCTCACGGCACCGCACAGCTGTCTGAGGCTGAGAGGGGAGGAAAGATGGAAGCCTTCCTGGAAGGAGCTCAGGTTCATGGGCCTCCAGTCTTCACACACTTGGGTGGGCTCCTCCCCGCAAGGGAGCAGAGGGACTCTAGTGGGCAGAGCCAGAGCCCTGCAGTCAGACAGACCACGGAGCCAACCCAGGTCCACCTCCTCCCCAGCCGTGGGACCTCAGCCCGTCAGGCTCTCTGAGTGGGGAACAGGATAGAAGAGGGCCCCGTCCCTGTGAAGCCTACACAACATGGAGAAGACAATCAGTAAACGTGAAAACAACAAATAGACACCCTCAGATGGCCAGTGAGCACCATGAGAGACAAGGGGCCGTGACGAGAGGGCGGGAGTTATCTGACGCTGCGAGGAAGGGAAAACGCCTGCAGAGTGAACAGCTGCTGAGGGTGGTTGTGGCGTCAACTCAAGGAGACACTGTGCATGCAGAGATCAACGTGGACGGATCCCCCCAGACTACAGCGTGCACAGCTGCACACTTCACAGATGTGAGCAGTGACACTGCGGCTGAGACCCAATGACAGGACGGGGTCAGGCCTGCAAAACTCTGAAGCAGCGGGTTCCAGGCCCTGAAGAAGAACAAGCTGGGGCTTGAATGGAAGGAGCAAGGGAGAGAGCGGCTGAAGATGAGGCCATGGGCGCTCAGTAAATTACTATTCAACGAATGAAGGAGTGCAGCAGACGCTACAATCTCTGAGCCTCAGTTTGCACATCTGTAAAACAGGGATAATAATATCTACCTCATAGGATTACTACAAGAACGTAGCACAACATAACATCAACGTAACAACATAACATACTAAACAGAGCAACATAACACAATATAGCACACCACGACACAACGTGATGAAACACAACAGAATATAACATAAGAATACAACAACAGGACATGACATAACAGCAAAACATGACCCCACACAGCACAACACCCCTAAGATGCCCAGTGCAATATGTGGCAGGTAGTCACTCCCCAGTCAGGGCCGGTCTCCTTCCCTTCCCAGCTTGCCCACTGGCCTTTCTCCTCTCTCTCACCACATCCCTTGAGGCCCCACAATCTCCCAGAGCCTGCTCTAGACCTGGACTCGGGCCTGCCCATCAGACTCTGCCCCAGGCTCCTGAACAATCACTTAGGCTGCCCATGACAACAACACAAGAGAGGACACTGTGTCCTCAGTGCCTGCCCCAGCCCGCTCAGAGGAAGCAAGCACAACACAGTAATTCACTGAGTCCAAAAGCCCCCATTTGACAGAGGTGGACACTGAGGCCAGGAGAGCAGAATTGGTGGCCTAACGCCACGTCATGGGAGCCCTGAGAACTAGACTTCAAGTTTCCTAGCTCCTGAGCCTACTCTCGCTAAATGCCCAGGCTGGGGTCAGCTAATTCCATGAGTAAACTAGTTTTCATCTCCCAATCAACAGGGATAACACCAAAAAGAGGAAATTGTGGGTCAGCGCCCCTTAGGAATAGAGCCAGACTGGTGGGAAAGACTCTGAAGCCCAGAGCATGGATTGGGCTTGGGAGGGGATAAAGCTAAGGTGGGTGAGGGCAGGGGCAGGGGCACGGGGCTGATCACGTGCATCTCTTCCCAACCCCACGCACAGTGATGTCAAGTTGGTAGCTTGAAATTGGTCTTGGAAGGAGTACTTACACCAGGGAAATGGGTAAATGCTACAAATCGGGGTTTCCCTGCCCCCACCTCCCCGAACCCCCCCCGAGGGTCAGTTTACCAGCACACGTCTGGTCAGGGGCCAGACCCCGTGGGCCCTGAGATCACGGCAGGACTTATATCCTGGCAGAGGGAGCCACGGAAAGCCTTGAAGAGAGCGGGTGGCAAACTGACTCGTGCATCTCTTGAGGAGTCTACCGGGTCCTTTGAAGCTCATTTGGAAAATGATCTGGGAGCCCTGGGAGCTACTGGCAGATACATCAGCCATTAGATACTGTCTCTGTTTAGGGTCCTGAATCCAAATAGAGGCCAACACGGAGGAAATTGGGGGGTTACCTAGTGGCGAGAAGACAGGATGGGGGAGGCCCAAGGGAATGTTAATGTATGGAGCACCAGCTAATTCTTTTCTACATATTAGACCACCCAATTCCCACAATAATCTTCATTATGCCCATTTTACAGATGAAAAAATAAAAAATTAAAATTTCTTTAAAGCGAGAGCTCCCCATCCTGCTGGCCTGCAGGATAACTCGCCCCCACTCTCAGGCTGGCAAGGGAGGGCCTGGGTCGCATGCGCTCAACCTGGTGATGCAGCTGCTCTCCCTGCTTGAGGGGTAGCCCGGGGCCAGGGGCTGGGCAGGCTGGACCAGCCTCTTCTCTTGGCCCCAGGCCTCAATGCTCAGGGAACGGCCAGCCAACGTCGCCACCATCTGCACCTCCACATTCTCCAGACGGTGCCTACGAAGGGAGCCAGGCTCAGCCCACCGCAGACGCCAGCCCCTGCCGACCTGCACTTTCCTTCTGGCAGATGCTGAGCAAGCACGCTTCACGCCCGGGGCAGACGCATCTGTCCCTCTGAGGCAGTGTGTAGGGCCGTTTCCATTTCAAAACCGAGCACCTGGGACAACTTAAAAGTCATAAACTTAACTCCTGCCAGGATCGGCCCCTGGTCAGCTCAAAAGCAGGGGAAACACACCTCACTTCAGTTGTACGGAAATATTTTTATTCATTGTTCCAAAACCTTTAAAAAGATTTTTTTGATAATTTGTCCCTAGCTCTTTAGCTTCCACCATTTTATTTATCCTGCATCCTTTTAAGAACAGAAATAGAAAAAAAAAATCCTCAATTATTTTTAATATAAAAGAATATAAAAACTTCCAAGTTGTTTCTGTCCACTGTTTTTTATTCAGAAAGGATATGTCTGATATTTTTTTCTCTGAAAGGAAAAGCAGGGGGTTTAAAGTCATAAAATACCAGTTCTAAGCCCAGGTCTCCTACCTCCTGCCAACCTAGGTCAGTTCACTTTTCCTCTGCTGGTCGGTTTTCTCATTTGTAAAATGGGCACATAACACCTACCTCCTGGCACTGCTGTGAACTTCAGGTAAGATCAGGTAAGCTGCAGTGATTTTAATGTGTTTTCAATCTCAACAGATCATCACCTCACGGGAAGCCCCGACACTGTGCACACATCTGGTGGTTGACTGGTTCAGTCAATAAAATTAATTGCTTTCCTGCTATGCACCAGACACTCTCCTAGGTGCTGGGTATAGAGTGGTGAATGGGTCAGGGAGCTTGTCTGTAGTGGGGACACAGACAATGAGCAAGTCAAGAAACCAGGACATTCCGGACAGCCGTCAATCATATGAAGACACAAAACATGGCTGCGGGATGAAGAATGCCTGGGGAGAGGGGTTTTTGGGTGGGTGCTCAGGGAGGCCCTCTGTGCAGGCGACGGGAGCTGACGTGGGAATAGACCACAACAGTTGGCCCTGTGATGTTCTGGGGGAAGCGTGTTCCTGGCAGAGGAAACAGCAAGTTCAAAGGCCTTGTCTCAGGTCGGGATCCCCAGAGGCAGAGCTGGAGACAGGGACTGGGGCGCCCACGGTTTCCTGAGAGAGGGCTCTTCAGGAGCATCATGTAGCGGGTAAAGGAACCAGGACAAGAAGGGGAAAGGGGCCACGTGAGGCAGGGGTCTCGGGTAAGGTCTGGCCTTGACTGGTTCACGGGCGCTCTCGAGCAGACACTGCATCCAAGAGTCATCTGCCCTTGTGGCACATCACAGGTGCTCACTAAAGGCAGCTGTCAATCACCATCCTACACGGCCCAGTGGGAGAGACACCCTTCTCCTGACCCACTTGAGCTGAGGTGAGCATCCTATCGTGCCACCTACAGAAGGGGCCGGCCTTTTGTACCTGAGTGAGTCACTGGCTGGGAGAGGGGCGTAGCTGTGAACTGTGAGTGGCCGACACTCACGGCCACTGGTGGACAGTGCAAAGACCCAAGCACCAGTGGTGTCCACTACAGACCTGAAGGTTAGGACAAGCTTGGTGGTTCCAGGAATAGCAAGATGCCAACATGGCTGGAAAGGAGAGGACGGGGGAGGGTAGGATAAGATGAGCCCAGGGTGGGCGGGCGGGCCAGATCCCGTAGGACCAGCAGATCAGAGACACCCCACCCCTGCAATCAGGCCCCCGAGATGTCCATCCTACCTGCAGCTCGGGGGCAGCCAGGGCCTGGTCCAGTTTCAGGAACTCTGCTTCTCGCCAAGCAGTCTGCAGTTGCTGCAGCAGGACTCGGGCCCGGATTTTGGGGAGGGCCAAGCTCCTGTCCATCTGAGCGAAGCAGCCGTGAACTTCCTGCCGCATCTGGAGCAGCTCCTCCTCAGACAGGGAGAAGGCCGAGGAGCAGAGCTTCCTGGCAAAGCAATTACAGGGATACGCTCTCATCAAGAGAAAACACTGGGGGTTGTGCTGGGTGGGTGGGGGGAGCTGGAAATTTAAAGCTCAAAATCTATGAGTGAAATGAATGTCAGGGGAAAAAAATCATCTCCTTAATCATGCACTCATTCCCCAGGGATTTCTTGAGCACCTAATGTGTGCTGTGTGAGACACATCACACTGGAGCTGAGAATAAAAGCTGAATGAGACAAGATGTGCCGGAATCTGTGAGGAGCAAGAGGCCCTCCAGAGCTCATGACCTTGAAGATAACCTGGTCTCACTTCAGAAACAGACATGAAAACAAAGACCACCCAGTGAGCCTGCTGAGCAGCACACTGTGAGTAGGAACAGTGCCCCAGAGGACAGATGCCCCACTCAGCTCAAGTGGGTCACGGAATGGGGGGCCCTTGTGCTCGGTCTTAAACGATGATGATCGTTTAGAGAAAACCTGTTCCACGCTGCAAGCAATGAGTGACTTACTGTTAAGGGTTGAGGTGTGTCCCCCAAAAAAGATATGTTGAAGTCCTGACCCCCGGTATCTGTGACTGTGACCTTATTTGGAAATAGAATCTTTGCAGATAGAATTAAGAAGTAGGTTGAGGTCATGTTGGAGTAGGCTGGGCCCTTAATCCACTAAGACTGGTGTCCCTATGAGAAGAGGAGACAGACAGACACACAGGGAGAAGACGGCCATGCGACAAGAGGCGGAGACTGGAGTGATGTAGCTACAAGCCAACCAGTGCCAAGGATTGCCGGCAACACCGGAAGCTAAGAGAGAGGCAGGGAGCAGAGCCTCTCCTCCAGCCTCCAGAGAGAGCACGCCCTGCCGACAGACACCTGATTCAGACTACTGGCCTCCAGGACTGTGAAACAGTACATTTCTGTTGTTTCAAGCCCCAGTTTGTGGTAATTTGCTACAGCAGCCCCAGGGAAACAAACACATTTACCTACAGCATCGCTAATCCTCCTGACAACTCAGTCCTCAATTTACAGATGAGGAAATTGAGGAACATCCCCCCTTCCTCTCTGGCAAGGCCCACAGCCCACTCTGCAAAAAAGAATGGCCACAGCTCACTTCCTGCCCTCGGGACCCAGTTGTGGTCAATGAGATGTAAGGGGAAGTCTGCTGGGCACTTCTGGACAGAATTTCCTCCCTGACCCAGGACGGAGCAATGAAAGAAGTCTTTGCTCTTCCTTTTTGCTTTGGGAAATGTGTGGTGCGTCTGTTCATTTATTCATTCAACAAATATTCTCTTTGGTTATTCTGGCAACGTTCGATCAGCACTGGCTGCATAAAATATGCTTTGTGGATGTTTTAAATTCAGAAATATCTGCAGGAAACTACTGTGGGAGGCGAGAGCCGGGGCTACCGCACCCAAATCTCAAAGTGGGAGTGTGGGACTGCGGCTCAGCTGGGAAGTTCTCTCGTGGAAACAGACAGGACCTCCAGGGCTGATATGGGCCCCCAGCCAGGAACAGTCTGAAGGCCCCGAGCCAACGTTGCTGACACCCCTGTCTTGGATTCCACGCTCCATGGGGCCCATGGATTTTTTACAGGATCTCAGGAAACTGCAGCTGCTACTCGTGGAGAATCTCTGCCCCTGTGTCTGCTGGTTATACGGAATCCAAAGGGAAAGCAACTCTGAAATGAATCCGAGTCACAATTCTTCCCCACCTTCAAACCAGATCAGCCCTGGGTGGTCTTGTCTTAACCTCTACTACACAGGCCCCAAGACAACACAGAAATACAGGAGACGGGGTCTTTGCCCTGAAGGAATTTAAAATCCAGACAGGAGTTTAGGAAATAAGTCTCCAAGACTGCTTTCCTTGGCGAAAATATGTGTCCCTATTAATTTCTGCTTTATTCGACCAGGTTTACAGCAACTCCATCTTGCTCGAAATCGAGAAGCTTATAAAAATGTGTTTCAAAACTATTGTGCAAAGCCATTTTTACACAATGCCTCAGAAATAAAGGCTGCAAGCTTTTGGAATCTTAAATGCAAGGTATGTACGCAGACTCACATTGCGTGCATTGTGAGTTGACCCTCTTTAACCCTTAAAAAAATCATAAAGAGTTTTCTGATAGCAAAATGAGATTTCTCTTTTCCTGGTGAATGACCAGATCAGCAGCGGCTTTAGTAATACTCCCTGCAAATGGATCCAAATGAAGTTGAAGAAAATGACCATCTGGTAATAGGAATGTCAAGTCTACTTCATATGCGTGGAAGGGTCCAGAGCAGGCTGGAATGTGTAGAGACTTTAGTGGAATGTAGGTTGAGTTGAACAATTAGTGCTGAGAGCAGTTCATGGGAATAAGAAGTGGCGTTTAAGGAACTGATTTTTCTGGGCTTGGAAGAGACAGCCTCTTGTTTGTTCAAGAAAACAAACAGTAACAGAGATTGGGAAACAAATGAGGAGAGACCATAAAGAAGAGATGAGAAAGAGCCGAGAGGTCACTTAATCTATATTAAGACAGCATCACTCTCTGCAAACACCTGGGACCTCTTCTCCCTGGCAGCAAGGGCAGTCCTCAGGGAAGAGTAGAGTCTAGGAGAAGCATTAAATCTTGAAGCCAGGAAGATCCTGGTCCACGGGAGGTAATGGCCACCAAGGATGGAGGGGCATTGCAGAAAGGTGCTATGCTGTCTGATGTCCTTCAAGGGTTCAGGAAGAGGCCAGGCCTCGGTGCAGACGGGGAGGACCACTGATGTTGAGCACACAGAGCAGACAGGATCAACAGAGAGGGAGGGCAGTAGATAGATTGAGAGGGACTGGGCAGATAGATTGACAAGGACTCATTCCCTTCCCTCTCCCCCAGCCCAGACCCACCACATCCCTTCCCCAATCCTACGTCGGGGCAACCATTTCCACTAACAGGGCTATCGATTCAGAATTTAAATTGTGACTAAGATTCAACTTAAACTGCGGAGTGTCTATACCAAGAAAAGAATACTAAAAGGACTTGGGTTTTGTTTGTTTATTTGCTTGAACGAGGTTTTCAGGGTTTGTTTGTTTGTTTAAAGGAAAAGCAACTTTAAGGACTATTGACTGGTGGGTCTGTTGGTCAAAGGGAAAAGAGGCTCTATGTTATTGCCAAATGGGCACAATTACGTCATTACACGTAAACAGTTATTTAGTTTCTCTAAGTAAATAGACTGTGTAGATGGTGGTCACTGTTTATCTCCATTGTTGCTGTTGGTTTTTTCATTTTGTTCCTTCACACCAGGCACTGGTCTCCCCGCTTCACACCCAGATAAGGACCAGGACCTCCTATCAAGCTGCGCCAGCCTCAGTCTCCCCCCACCTCGGCAAAGCACCAATGGCTCATCTCTGGCTCCCAGTACCAGGTCGGCAGCTGGCACACAAGACGTACCTCCTTCAGAGCCTGACAAAGCTCTTGATTCTCCATGGTGTATCCCAATGTGGTTAACCGCTCATGCTTCATTTATCATAGTCAGCTATTTATGTTTCTGTTTCCCCAGATAACCTGAACCCTTCCAGCACAGGAATGATGGTGGTAATGACAGCAGCTACCACTTATCATCCACTTATTGTGGACCAAGCGTTAGATTAAAAGATTTAAATATACTAGCTCACGTAACCTCTCATTGATGCTGTAAAGCTGGTATTTTCTAGACATGGCTGATGACCTAAACTAGAGCCACTTCCTTACCCCTTGTTGCTCAACTTCTGTTTAGAGGGGTTACTCTCCAACAATGTTGGGGATAGGAATGCCCCCCGCCCACAGCCCCAGGGAGAGAACTGCAATTGGTCTAAGGCAGGAAGCAGCAAACTACAGCCCGTGGACCAAATCCGGCCCACTGCCTGCTTTTGTTAATAAAGTTTTATTGGAACACCGTCAGGTTCACTAGTTTATGGATTGCCTATGGCTGCTTTCACACTACAAAGGCAGAGTTGAGTAGCTGTAATGGAAATCACATAGCCCTCAGAGCCTAAAATATTTACTATTTGGCACTTCATAGAAAAATTTTGCTGCCCTCTGGTCTAAGACACTCATGGCCACTTCACTCTCCTTGTTAGTGAATGGTTAGGGATAGGCTTACGATGTAGTCCTGTCCAGTAGGATCGAAAGGGTCAATGCCTCAGATGTTAAAAGGAGATGATGAGTGTGACACCTAGCGCTGCAGCAGCTATTCTGAAACCATGAGGGGATGAGCCCAAAGACTAAGGCAGCACATTGAGGAGAGTGGAGCAGAATGAAGGTGAGAGCTGAGTCCTTGCTAGTGTGATTGAGCCACTGAATCAAAACTGGAAACATTCACCTCCTGAATTCCTCTTATAAAGTATTTTCTTCACCTCTTAAACAACCTGATAGATCCTGTGCTGCTGAAAGCACCCTAAATGATTTAGTATTGTCGTTCCCATCTTACAGGCAAGAAAGATGAGGCTCACAGAGGTCAAGTAACTTGACTACACTCAGACAGCTGGTGATGGTGCTGGGATTCAAACCCAGGTTTTTCAGTCTACACTGCCTACATCTCATTCTTTTCCATAGCCACATACTGGCCACGTCTGGGGCTCCTCCAGTTTCCAATCCGGTGTGCCAGCCCTAAACAGCTGCCAAAGTCTTTGTTGGTTTCTATCATACCACTAAGGGCCCCCTTTTGGAGCCAGGCCAAATCTCAGTCTGCACGAAGAACTGGCAAATGTTGCAGGGAAGTAAAGACTGTTGAACTTGGCCCCTCTGGAATTTCACTTCGACCAGTGCTCATCGCTTCCACAGCTCTCCCATGTCTTTAAAAACATTACTTGTGCAATTTATTTTATTTTTATTTTTATTTTTTTGGTGGGGAAGATTGGCCCTGAGCTAACCTCTGTCAATCTTCCTTTCTGCTGAGGAAGATCAGCCGTGAGCTAACATTGGTGCCCATCTTCCTCTATTTTTTATACGGGATGCCTCCACAGCATGGCTAAACGAGTGTGCGTATGTCTGTGCCCGGGATCTGAATCTGCGAACCCTGGGCCGCTGAAGTAGAATGCACAAACTTAACCATTACGCCACCGGGCCTGCCCCTAGTTGTGCCATTTATTCATTATTTTCTAGTTATTGCAGCAAGAGTGTTGGCCAGCTGTGACCTACTACATCCTATTCAGAGGTGGAAGTCATTACATGGTTCTAGAATTAATAACCAAGATAAATGGCCCAAATAAGTAATCAGTGAATGAAGGGGCCAGGTGAAGAGATGGTGCAGTGTGTTGTGAGGCCTAAACTGAGGCCCCATATATGCGCTGCCTTGACATCGGGTGAAACTGGGAGGGCCTGGAAGGGCCTCACTGCAAGCTGGCCTCACCACTCTGCTCTCGGGACAAAGTCCCCTCGTCAAGCAGCACTGCTTATCACAGGGACCAGGCACAGGGCCTGCTTATCCCTGAGTAGTGGGCTTCCGTTCCCTGCCAGCCTATGCAATTATTCAAACAAACCAATCACATCCTCCCGGGGGAACCAGGGGGCACCTCACCCTCTTGTTACTACAAAGCCTGCCTCCCACTGCCCCTGTTGTTCACTCTGCAACCTCTGGGCAGCCCTGGGTGGCATGCAGTGTCCCTCTCCCCATGGCTGTGAGTACAGGTGACTCATGAACTGCTGTCGACCTCACTGTCCAGTGTTGGGGGTCGCATGTTCGGCCACCCCCATAACCACAGGTGGGATCCTTCTCTCACCAGTGGGTGGAGAGGACATGATTGAAACATACATGGGTACTCACAGAAAGACCAAGTGCTCCCAGTGTCTCAGCTCTGCCTGCTCCTCCGTTGAGGCCTCCAGAGCGTCGTCCTTCAGTCTCTGCCTCACGCTCTGGACGCCCTCCTGGCCCCTGTCCCTCTCCTCGGCCTCGAGCTGCTCGGCCCGGGCTGCCATCTCCTTGCCGTGCTCCTCCAGGATCTGCTGCAGGAAGAGCCAGGGCACAGTGCGCTTGAGCAGCTCCTGGGTCATCACTGAGTTCTGGAGGCGCCGCAGCTCCTCGGTGGCTTTCTCGGACAGGGAGAGGGTCAGCGCCCTGAGGTCGTCCAGGGCAGCCTGGTCCAGACGCTCCTGCAGCTCCTCCAGGGCGGCGCTGTGGTCCGCCATCAGGCTCCTCCACTGGCCCAGGTACTGGTCCGCACCCTCAGCAGCTCGGAAGGCTTCCCCGACGGACAGCTGCCCCTTCCGCTGCTCCTTGTGCTGGCAGGAATTTCAGAAAGGAAATTAAACAGGGACAGGGCTCGGTGGGGACAGCCCTTTGGGAAAATACTTTGGAAATTTGTTGCAGGAGGCACAGAATGTCCATAGCCTTTCCCCAACAACATCACATTTAGGAAATTATGCTTAAGAAAATAACCCAAAATACAGTGAAAACTTCATTGGTTCAACATTTATTCAACACGTGTTTGTTGAGTAGTAAAGCCCAAGAGGCAGACTGCCTGGGTTCAATCCTGGCTCCTCCAGTGATAAGCTGAGTGACCCAAAGCAAGTGTCTTAGCCTCTCTGTGCTCGATTTCCTAATCTGTAAAATGGGGATAACAATAGAATTTGCCTCACAGACTACTTGTGAGGATTCAATGAGTTGCTTAATACGTGGGTAGCTCTTAGAGAAGTGCCTGGTCTAGAGTAAATGTCTGCTATTATTATTACTATGTCCCAGGCACATAGTAACCGCAAATCATGATATTATAAGGGAAAAAAACCCCAAGATCCATCACAGGCAATTTAAATGAGGAGGTCCAGGAAGGCTTTTAAGGAAGGAGATCCAAGCGAGACCTGAGAGATGAGGTCATATCTTAATTGGGTTAAGATACAGGGAAAGAACATTCCTGGGGGAAGGAACAGTAGGCACGAAGGCCCATGGTGGGAAAAAAGCTGACATGCATAAAGATGTCCATCATGGTGTTATTTATAATACTGCACCTGCAGATAATCTTGGTACTATTTTGTGAGGACACGGGTTGATCTGCCTTTTGTTCATGGGTCCTGGTGATCAGAGAATGCCAATTCCTTCATTCTACAAATACTTGCTGAGCACCTACTCTGTGTCCTCAGCCCTGGGGATACAATGTCAACCTTCATCTTTGTGGAGCTATGTGCTAACTTTGTGCCACTCACAAGATTTATCAAAAGCAGCTGCAAGAACTAATATTCACGGAAGACCGCTGGAATGTCTGCAGTGCATCCATCCTCCTAGATCCAAACCTTGAATCAGGCCAGAACATCAGAGGAATGTGGGCTTGGGCCCATTGTTTTGATCCTTTAGCAAATGGAGATGGATGAGGTGATGCTCACGGATGCGGTGGAGTTCAACAGTCAAGGTAAGAATCACGGCTTTATGTTGGGCCCAAAACTTGATAACAAAATGCAGAGTTTCTATCGATCAAATTAAAGTTAGTTTCATTCCCTTCCCTCCGTCCTGAATGGTACCTGACAACCACCTAGATGTCATCCTGTACGTTCCACACATCCTCTGAATCTGTCCTCACCCCCGGCCCAGGGCATGTCGCAGTTTAGGCCCTCGTCAGCTCTCACCTGGCCGAGCACTGGAGTCTCCCATGGGTTTATACCCCAGGATCCTCCAACTGGATCCGACAGGCTGCTCACAAGAGCTTCCTAAATCCCAAATCTGATCGCATCCTCTTCTCCTGAAAATCCTTCAACGTTCCCCACTGTCCTTGGATGGAGGGTGAATCCCTCAGCCTGGCACACCATGCCTTCATTCCTGGGCATGCCTCCTCCAGCCCCTGCCCTCATCCCTCCGCAGACTCCAGCTCCTCACGTTCTCAGAGCTCCCAGGCACAGCAGGGCATTCTGGGTTGACTGCTCCACCTTAGAACAAGACACCTGCAGGGCCCTTTCCAGCCTTGTATGCATCAAACGTGCATTTGTCACTCAGGGTTCAGTTTATGCTGCGCCTGCTCGGTAAAGCCTTCCTCAGCAGAGACAGTAACTTCCTCTCTGTTAGAGCGCATTGTGTATGGCGTGAAGTGAGCACATCATGATGCACTTATGTGATTATGTGTTGGTCTCTCCTCTCTCAAGGCGGGCAAACAGCTGAGCAGGTTAGAGTCAAGGATAAAACTTAGGCCCGAAGTCAGACAGGCCTGGGTTCAATCCCATGTCTGCCACTTACTAGATATTTGACCTTGGCCCCATAACTTCATGCTGAGATCTGAATGTTCGTGTTCCCCCAACACTCATATGTTGAAACCTAAAGCCCGATGTGATGGTATTCGGAGGTGGGGCCTTTGGGAGGAGGCCTCATGAATGGGTTTAGTGCCCTTGTAAAAGAGACCCCGCAGAGCTCCCCAGCCCCTTCCACCACGTGAGTACACAGCAGGAAGTCAGCAGTCTGCAACCCGGAGGGGGCTCTCCTCACCAGAACCCACCATGCTGGCACCCTGATCTTGGACTTCCAGCCTCCAGAAGTGGGAGAAATAAATGTTTGTCATTTAGAAGCCACCCAGCCTGTGGTGTTTTGTTATAGTAGCCTGAACAGCTCTCTAAGCCTCAGTATCTTCATTAAAAAAAAAAGAGAGAACACAGTAGTTACTACTTCACAGGGCTAACGTAAGGATTAAATAAGATGTCTTATATAACACACTTAGCACTATCATTGTCATTATCCACTCAAATCAGCACTCCCATTTCGTCGCCCAGGCAGACTTTACTAATCCACCATGGCTCGCTCTCTGCTCTACTGAGGCTGGATAGGACCTGTGGAACATTCTGAAAATCAAGCATAGATGGCACATCACGACACCTGCCCAGTCACCCTCCGGACCCTAGCTCTCTGACAGCAATGCCTGGCGTGGTACCTGGCACTCAGTGGGTGTTCAGAAACGGCTATGCAAAGAATAAAGAGCATAATTCCTTAAATACCTTTTGCAGCATCTCTCGTCTTCTCTTAATTATTAATTTCTGGTGGAGCTTTCTCTTTTCCTGCTTTAAGTCATTGTCCAACTTCTGTTTTATAGAAAAGACTTCTGTCTGAGCCCGCTCCAACAGCACCTCCATCTGGTCTTCATCCAAGTACCCTGCTCTAGGGGAAAAGAGGCAGAGTTAGCTAACGCCCTCCGCAAACTCACCGTTAGCTGGACTGCGTTGTGGCTGAACAGTCATCTCCACAGTAGTTTGGTTTGAATAGGAGAATCTTTACCCTGCAGGAGGAGAAGGGGAAGGACACTCAGATGTCACTAAACTACAGGAGGGGTCATGTCAGTGTCCTTAGAGATGTGCAGAGAAAGCTCCATGTCAGGCGAGAAATCACCTGTTATGGCTGGAACTGGGCAGGAGTTCTGGGAGAAGGTAACATTCACGGGGACCATGCGGTACAGACAGACTCTTCCAAGAGGAGATGGTGGATTAGGAATTCCTGGTGACAGGAATGGCATAAGCAAAGTCCAAAAGGCAAAGGCAGGGAATACTCTGTGTGAGGGTTAATTCTAGCATCAGTTTGACTGGCCACAGGGCAGGTGCCAGATTAAACATTGTCTTTGGGTGTGTCTGTGAGGGTGTTTCCGGATGAGATTAGCACTTGAATCGGTGGCCTCAGTAAAGGAGATCACCCTCTCCAATGCGGGAGAGCATCATCCAACCCTTTAAGGGATTGAATAGAACAAAAGGCGGAAGGAGGAGGAATTCGCTCCTTTTTTCCTGCCTCCTTACTGAGCTAAGACATCTCATCCCATCTCCTCCTGCCCTCGGACTGGGATTTACGTCATCAGCTCCCCTGGTTCTCAGGCCTTAGGATTCAGACTGAAATATACCATCGGCTTTCCTGGGTCTCCAGCCTGCAGACAGCAGATCGTGGGATTTCTCAGCCTCCATAACTACATAGCTCATTCCTCATCTCTATCCTATGAGCTCTGTTCTTCTGGAGACCCTGACTGATATACTCTGTTGCCACCGCTATTAGTATGACTCTTCCCAGTCTGCTGCATCCCTGGGCTGGGCCCTCTGCTTAGCACTGGGTAGATTCACAATGGAAGCTTCCTGAAGGAATGAATAGGTGAATGAATGAATGGTAGATACATGTTTTAGAAATATAAGTCTGTGCTAGCCTTTTATTTATTTATTTTTTTGGTGAGGAAGACCAGCCCTGAGCTAACATCTGCCAATCCTCCTCTTTTTGCTGAGGAAGACTGGCCCTGGGCTAACATCCGTGCCCATCTTCCTCCACTTTATATGGGACACTGCCACAGCATGGCTTGCCAAGTGGTGCGTCGGTGTGCGCCCGGGATTCGAACTGGCGAACCCCGGGCCGCTGGAGCAGAGCGCGTGCACTTAACTGCTTGCGCCACTGGTGTGCCAGCCTTTTAAAATAGAATTTAAAAATCAAAGGTAAACCACATTTCCCCGGTAACCGCCTACAACAGTACAATGGGTTGTCGGGCACTTCAGTTCAAGGCAAGGAGCTGTTTCTTTCACTTGAGTGAAAATTAATCAGGAATGTCAAGTCAATTGCGGTGACAAATTCATTAGCATCTTTGGGTAGGGAATGTTCACATAATTTGCACCTTACAGAATCCTCATGAAATAGAGCAAGAGAGCTGCAAAGTTCTAATAAAATTACCCAGGTGGTAGAGCCAATTCATAAAACCATGAATCATGGTAAGAAAGCCAACTTTACAGTCATGTCCCTATTCATTCTCGAGCTTCTCGTAACCTAAAAAGAATAAATTTCATTGTTCACAATTAAAAGAATAAATTTCATTGTTTACAATTAAAAGAATAAGTTTCATTGTTTACAATTAAGCACCTCAAAGACTAGCTGAGAAGAACGGCGGTGGAGGGGTGAGAGGTTGTGATACCGGCCCTGATATCAGTTCCCCTGCGTTAAACCCAGCATATATGGGGTTAAAACCAAAAGCACCCATCCCCTCTCCCTGCTTCTCTAAGTTACATTCATACATAAATATCGTTTTTTTAAACCTTTGTATCCCTGAACTTCACAAGGCAAATAGAAGTTAGAAATTGTTAGAGCCCAGGTGGCCTCATGCTAACATTTTGGTTAGTTATGAGTCCTTGGAAGTTTTATTACAGGGAAACTGATGCCAGATCCACCATCCACCACGGAGACAGACAACCAAGGACACCCACCTGCGGATTCTCTTATCTCGCCATTCTCCTCCCTGCAAGCAGCCTCACAAGGCCAAACGTGGGCTGGTGGGAAGGTGCCGACCTGCAAAGTCACAGCTTCCCCTCCCCTACCTAACACCTCAAATAAAAACCCCTACCTTTTTTCCTTTGGGGAGGTGGATCTGAGTTCTAACTAACTCCCATCTCCTCGTCTGGCTGCCTTTCGATAATAGTAAACCTCTTTCCTTGCCACAAGCCTGGTGTTTCAGTTTTTTCTTTATACGCCCTACTGTGCGGCAGGTAAAAGAACCTGTGTTTGGGTTCCATAACAGTTGTGCTGATGAGAACCTGCGTCACCACCATTCACCTGACTGCATGGTACCCCAGTGCTGCTGAGAAAAGCCACTCAGGATCCAAGACCAGCATCTATATATTTACACTTCATTCCAAAGGTGCATGCGAGAGCCAGTAGTGTGCTAGAGGTCAAAGAGAAGTGGGCTCTCCCATTGCACAGTTAACAAAAGCCTCCACCACTGATTTCTCAGTGAAACGTTGAGGATTTGCTTTACAATAAACCAGGGTGGGGAGGGATAGCTACATCAAGATTGGCCATGAGTTGGCACCTACTGAAGTTGAATGACAGGCACAGGGGAGGTTCACAGTACGGTTGTCTTGACTATCGTGTATGTTTTTAAAATTCTATAATGCAAAGGATTCTTACAACTAGAGCGTCATAAGGAAGGAGTGGCCAGTCATACGATGAATGAGCAGAAGTCTATGTCCTTGGCTGAGGGACGTTGGGGCGAGGTGGGTCGTTTGCACCATTTGGGATGGTTTTCGGGTTTACCTCTCATGTTTCTGGATGAGAAGGCTCAGCTGAGCGGCCGCAGTGCTCAGAAGGCCTTGCACCCGGGTGTCTGATGACTGTATGTTCTGGACCAGGTACTCCCTGTGGCCAAATCTTTTACTTAGATGATATCTCTTACTAGCCTGGAAAAAGTCCATTAACTCTTCTACTTTCTCCTGTTTAAAAAGAAAATCGAGAAAATGCGCTAATTAAAATTTAGAGAAAATTCTTTCTAGACATGTAAAATATTACTTTTCCTTTCTGAATAAAATGCACAGGAATAGAAGCACTGGGATTATCACGTTAAACCTCCCTGCCCTTCACAAAGGCTTATAGGAATATCACAGACTAACAAGAAATCAGGGCTTTGAAAAGTGCATTCTAGACCCAGATGGTAAAGAGTTATCAGAACAGCTTCACTGCCCTGAGAAACGGAATGTAAATGTTACTGTCAGTCATTCATCCTTCACCCATGCACAAGGTCACAAACCTCCATGCGGAGTTCCCAAAACACAGCACCACAACAGGTGCTAAGTTCTGGGATAAATGACCCCCAGAGCACCCACACTCAGAGGAGACGAGACGAGCACAGTCACAAAGAGCAGTGAGAAGTTTTTCTCAATCTACAAAATGAACAAAACTTGACCAAACACAAGAGAGTAATAATAACCAAGCTTATAGTGGGTGTCTTTTCTGGGCCTGGCACTGGGCCCAGAGTGGTTCTTACCTCAACTAACTTAATCTAGAGAGAGAATACTATTATTCCCGTTTCACAGATGAGGAAACTGAGTCCACATCACACAGCTGGTAAATGGTTGAGCAGGGACTTGACCTCAGCAATGAAATGCCAGGGCCTGTGCTTTAACTTCATAACAGGCTGCCTCCAAAACCCCAGCTGTTAACCGGTGCCACAGTAATTAGACCAGCAGTAATTAGAACATTAGCCTCAGTGGTATTATCCCGCTGATCGGCTCTGCTCTCTTTTCTCCATCTATGGAAATATTGTCCATGCAATGGTTACTGAAAAGATCATCACTTGGTTCAATAAGCTACATTTGATGTCACAGACAGTGTCTTTTCCACACAAAAACTGTCACATTTCCAGTTGTGGACGCCTGAGAACTGGCACTATCGACAGTGGAAGCCAAACGGTCCCTCAGATGTGGCTGAATGCCAGCATCTCCCCATGAAGTGCCGGCGGCAGAATTACTATAACAGGAACACTGCAGTGATACTCCTATTCTCCACAGAACTGGGTCCATGTGAGCCGGCTGACCTGTGTCCAGCATGGAAGGAAACGCACAGGTGGCGTTCTCAAACACTCCAACAGCTCTGGTCAGAGAAGTCTGTGCCAGGGTATCATTATCACCTGTGTAGTTACTTCTTTGATCCTAGCAGTAACACTAACACACATTCTTTCTAACTTGAATGTTCTTGGCCATTGCCCACCATGAGGAATAAAACAACAAAACCTGTTAATATCTGAGTGATGCCGTGGGGTCTGAACACGTAACTAGGAATATGATAGAATTCTTACTTTATTTACTCTCACTGGAGTTTTAGTGGGAAAAACATAGATCAAAATGGACAGGCGGCTTGTTCTCTTCCCTTCTGGGAGCCTCCTGGGAGTGGCCCTCTCATCCCGAAAGGCTCACGGTGATCACATGGTCTTCTCCCGCCATGGCCCTGCTCCATAGCGGCCCTCACTCACCGGGCCTGGGCCAGGACAGAAATCTGGCACAACACTGCACACCAGTGATTTCACTCTGTGTGTGTGTGTGTGTGTGTGTGCATGTAAAGTGCTTCATGCCGGCCTCATAAGAAATTCCACAGCAATGTTGACAATCTCAGATAAACTGTCTTCACTATCATCTAGGAATTTATTCAGTCTGGTTCAGCAACATTCACACTCAAGCTTATATGCCAAAATACACACAAATTCACCCAGGAATATCTAGACACAGATCGTAAACCCTACACATACACACACACACACACACACACACACGTATATGCACAGATATATTTCTATTATTTTAACTGCTATATAGGGTAGACATATATTGCACCAAGCACTGGCTTTCCATGAATCAGCTCTTTAAATCTTCATCACACCCCTGTGAATGTGTTCTATTACCCCCATTTTACAGGTGAGGAAACTGAGGCTCAGAGAAGTTAGGCAATTTGCTTAAATTCACACAGCTGATGGGTCATGGAACTGGAATTCACATCCAGGTCAGCCTGAGCCCAAGGCCTGTGCTTTAAGCCACCATCTGCCCTGCCCCTCACCCCCACATTAAGAGGTGGAAGGAAAAGAAGGTTAGTTCACTGGTACACAGCACCAAGAAGAGGCAGGACTTAACTCTGGGAGCAGAGAAATTCACTGAAACAGTTCAGGAAACTTACTCTGCCCTCATGCGAGCCTGATTTGAGGCATTACCTGTATTTTAGAGTAATCTTGCAGCAGCATTTTAGCTGCCTCTGGCTTCAGTTCTCCTTTGAAAATAGCACTTTTTATCTGGGTAAAAAAGATATTGTGCAGTTCGTTTCTCTGAAAAATCGCCAGCTGCCTGTGAGCCTTGGCAAAGTCTTCCTCCTGCTGCAGGGCCAGAGACCGCCGCAAGCACTCCTGCTCCAGGCCGTGGAGCGTCCTCAGGAGGCTGCTGCACTCGACAGCAGACTGTGGAGAGAAGAGGCAGCACGTGAGAGACTGCTACACCGACACAGGCATGCACAGGCACACGCGTGCACTCTGCAAGTGCACACATGCAGACACATTCACACGTGCATGCACACAGTGCATATGCATGCACACACACGTGCATGCATAACACAGGAACATACACATGCATGCACACACAGTGCATACATATACACAGAGCAACACACATGCATACACACGGAACACACATGTGCGCGCACACACACACACACACAATGTCCCAAGCTGACAATGATGAGGCTGCTAAGCTCTGGGAAATGCTATTGCAACCTATCCTCCCCTGTTATCTTAATGTTTTCCAGAACAATCTCAAAGTGGAAAATTCAGAGGGGTGGAAATTTGCATATCAAACTGCCTGTAATAGCCTGTAAACTGGAAATATCGGTGGACTGTCCTGTTGGGCTCTCAAGCTTATTTCCATCACCTTTCATTCCTAACTTAGTTTAAGAGAAGAATACCAACAATCAGGCCCAAGTTGAGATGATTTGTGTAAAAAAAAAAGGCAAAGAGGAGTTAAGAAATGGCCACATGAATGCCTACACTTTTTGTGCTCCAGTGTGAGGGAAGGGAGGAGACTCACCTTGACTGAGTTCCTGACATGTTCTCACTTCCGTTACCTCAAAGGACTCACATCCCAGGAGGGAAGTGTTATTAACTCCACGTGCAGAGGCAGGATTCTAAGCCCACCCCCAAGACTCCTGGCCCCTGGTGTAGACGTCATGTAAATCCTCTCCCCTTGAGCGTGGACATAAACTTTGACTACGACGGGACAGTCATCCTGTGATCAGGTTATTATGGCACAGGTGAAGGGGACTTCACGGGTAACTAAGGTCCCTAATCAGTGGACTCGGAGTTAATCAGAAGGGAGATTATCCTGAGTGAGTCTGACTTAATGAGGTGGCAGTCCTGAAAAGAGGGACTGGGCCCTTCCTGAAGAGAGAGACACTTTCCTCTGGCCCAGAAGAAGCGAGCAGCATGCTGTGAACTGTCTCTGGAGAAGGGAAGCCGATAGGAGCGAGGGCCTGGCTCTACAACTGCAAGAAAGTGAATTCTGCTGGCTATCAGAATGAGCTGGGACCAGGACCCCGAGACCCAGAGGAGAAGACAGCCCAGCTGAGACCTGGATCTCAAGCTTGTGAGACCCTGCAGAGACCCCAGCTAAGCTGTGCCCAGATCCTGACCATGGAAACTGAGATGATAAGTGGGTATTGTTTTAAGTCGCTAAATGTGTGGCCATGTGGTATGCAGCCACAGAAAACAAACACACTCCACTTTACAGGTGAAGAAACACAAACTCAGAGAAGCCAAGGGTCCTTCCCCAGTTCCCACCAGTGCTCAGGAGAGGAGGGAAGAAGCTGAAAGCAAACCTTCAGGCTCCAAGTTCAAACCACAGACACTGGACAGTGCAATGTGTTGGTGGAGCCAAGTCAGGGGAAGGTACACAGGGGAAGGTGAAGCGAAGGGCACAGCAATTTCAGCAGTCAAGGTCCAGAGGGCATGGTCTCCAGGGGGGGAGCGTGGGGTGGTGGCTGGGCTGGCTGAGCAGAGACTCAGGAAGGCAGAAGGCGATGGTGGCAGAGGGAAAGGGCTGTACCTCCTCTGGCTAAACAAGATCGGAGTGCTCTACAGCTGCCCGCATTCTCTGAGCTCAGTGAACAGTGTTGCTATCTCCTCAATTCCCCAAGTCACTGAGCTGCCCGCCTCCACTTCCGATCACTCACAAAGCCAACCAAGGTGACACATTCATTCCATCTTTCCAGTTCCATGTACTGACTTTTCAATTTGTTCAGAATCCGGCCCAGAAAGAGGAGTGTTATTTATTTAGGGATCCCCCACAAAAGCCCAGAAGCCAACACATGACACTCCCCGCCCTCAAGGTGCCCACAGCGCAGCCTTGACTGTGGGATGTGAAGAGCAGTGGCCACAGGGCCAGAAGCCAAAGGACTCCCCTTCGCATCCCTCTTGCCACATCTCCAGGATCCGTCCCAATATTAATGGTTTGCCTCGGCCACCAGAAAACAACATGGTCTTTTTTAACAGCTGATTTTCTAAAAAGGATTGGATTAGACTTTTCCGAGTCACTCTTCTGGAGAGAAGGGGTTCTTCACAGCCGACTTTATCTGAAGTAGAGAATGCACTTCACCCACAACCGTGGGGTGGGCCGTGGGGACGTTCTGCTGCCGAGGGAGTAGCTGGTGCCCAGTCAGGGTGATTCATCCATCAAAGTGACCTTCTTTGTTGACAGCATGAAATTCAACAAGCATCAAACCGCAGTCTATTCTAATTAATAGGGTTGAAATATGGGGTAAAATCCATCTGGCTTCTCACAGCTAGGACAAAAGGCACATGCGCACACATATACCTGCAAATCCTAAAATAAAATGATCTGTCCTTGTTTAGAATTACATTTCTGCTGAAGAGTAAATGATGCAATGATATGTTTGTGTCACAGTGAAACACTCAAGATATATTTTGATGAGAGCCCCCCCACTTCCACGAACACTGCCCTCCCATGGGGGTCCAGAGACCTGCAGAAATGTGTTCAACCCCTCACCTAGTCCAATCCTCCTGTGGCGCAGACGATGAGACTAAACCCAAAATAGGGGACATTCCTCTGCCCAGGTCTGCCAAGCAGGGGAGGTCATGTACGGAACTGAGGGAGGTGATTTGGTGTGGGAGACACTAGGGAGTGGTGGGGACTGGGGCAAAGTAGAGAGAGCAAGCCCTGCCTACAGGGCCAGCCATTACTCAGCCCATCAAAGGGGGCTCTGCAGGAATATGGACCCAGTGTGGCCACATCTTCCTGTTTTTTTTAAAGAAGCCAGAAGTCTGGATTTTTATAAGAAGTTTTATATTTTAAATATTGGCAACAAATGTGCATTTTTAAAGGTACATTAAAATAACGGTCACTCACCCCCAACTCCCTATTGAACTTTCCACTAAAATGGACTTTTCAGGGAAATGAGGCATATTTATCCTGCAGCTTCAAGTGCCTAGAAAAGCAACCGGTTGTGCGGAGGGGGTGGGGAGCTGGATCAGGAGATAGGCACTTCGATTCCGGTTTGAGACTCACAGGCCTGGGCCAGGCTGTTCTGGAGCAACTAACTGCTATTAGTGATGCTGACTTTATGACATTAAAATGTGAAATCATGTCAGGAAATTATGACTGTACTAAATTATACCCCCCATACTCAGTCTAGCAAGACGGGCAAATTGTAAAAACATTCTATAAAAATAAATCCATCAGAGATGGTTAAAATGTAAGAGTTCTTGCACTTAAGGAGTCTTTCCCTCTAAGACACTCACAAAGGAGTGAGGGAGGCTCAGGCAGCTCGGGGCGGGACGTGCTGCCTGCTGCTGCTTCTCTAAGTAGCCAGAAGCCCCGGGCTCTAGAAGGGAGCCCCCACACAGAGGACACACCCTCAACTGCCAGTGGCTGCTTGCGAGAAGCTGGGCAAGTCACTTCCCCTCTGGGCCTCAGTTTCCCATCTCGAAGTGGGAAGATCTCACACTCTCTGACTGTTCTATGTCACGGGCTTCTTTAAAGATTACACTGAATGGTGAGTCACAGTAAACACGAGAACAGGGCTGACACTGCCAAGCACTGGTCTCAGGACTGTGTAAGTGTGAACAGTCCCCTAAGACAGGCATGATCATCATCCCCAACTTAAGGATGGGAAAACCGAGACCCAAAAAGACTGAGCAATGTGCCTTCCGGAAGAACAGAGCGAGGATCGAGACTCAGCCATCTGCCTTCAGAGGCTACAGCCGTCACGACTCTCCTAGGGTCTCTCAGCAGAGAAATGCTTTGAAATTGCAGGGGATGACGCAGGCGTTTAAGTGTGAACAGATTTCCTCTTTGTCCTAATTACTGGAATTCCTAAACTTTACTCAGAAAAACTGATACTGCTCATTTTGCTTTCGTTTTTTTAAAACTGATTCTTGGTTGAATAATATGTCCAAGATATTCTCACGCATTTTATTTAAAGATGGCTGCAATAAATGTCCAGAGAGTCAAGTGGTCTGGGGTTTTGTGAGACAGAGTAGCGTGCAGGAACTGGAAGGGAATAACTATAAGTCTTGCAGTTCAGATGCTAATTTTGGAAGCAGGTTGGTGCAAATAAAGTGACCTGTCTCTGAACAGGGTGACCTAGGGGATCCAGAGCAATGGTGGCCTCCCGCTGCACGCCAGGAGGACGGGGGCAAGCAGGAGCCCTCAGGGCCCGCATCCCTTCTCCACGGCCCCAAGCCTGACGTAACTAATGAGGAAACAACTAAAACTGCATTGCCCAGGCAGCCTCTCGGTGGCAGAAGCCTTGGAAAGGTACGAGCCCACCAGGACGGGCTCACATGGCACAGGGCAGCAAAGGGACAGGATGCCCGGTGCACGAGGGTGGCAGTGAGGTGCAGTGGTTGGGGCGCCCTGCCTGGCTGTGAGTCTTGGCCTCACTGCGTGTCCCTGGGCAGGCGACCCTCTCCATGTCTGCTTCCTCACTGTAAAAGTGGGATCTGTCAATCCCCCTCAGTGAGTTGGTGTGAAGATTCGATGAGAAGGTCCAGGTCATGTGCTTAGAACAATGCTGGGCACACGGTGAAGGCTACGCAAGTGTGAGAGCATTTAACAAAAGCAGAAAATGTTCATATTGGGATGCTACGTGAAAACAAGCAAGATGTCAGTTATGTGAACTGTATACACCTTCCTTTGTTTAAAAAATGTATAAAGCAAAAGAGGACAGGAGTGGGGGCCACCTTAGCATGGCTGCACCCAGCCTTGGGCAGCAGCAGGGACTCGGCACACAGGCTGCATGGATGGTCAACCGCTGTGGACTGGGCAGGGTTTCAAGGTTTGTCTTTTTCTTTTGTGAGGAAGATCGGCCCTGTGCTAACATCTGCCAATCCCCCTCCTTTTGCTGAGGAAGACTGGCCCTGGGCTAACATCTGTGCCCATCTTCCCCCACTCTATATGGGAGGCTGCCACAGCATGACTTGCCAAGTGGTGCGTCGGAGCGCGCCCAGGATCTGAACCGGCGAACCCCGGGCCGCTGCAGCGGAGTGCGTGCACCTAACTGCTTGCGTCACCGGGCCGGCCCCCCTCAAGGTTTGTCTTTTTATGCTTTGGAGCTGGAGTTGGCAAACTTTTCTCTGAAGCACCAGACAAACATTCTAGGCTCTGCAGGCCACATATTTTTTGTTTTGTTTTTATTTTTTACAATCCTTTAAAAATGTAAAAACCATTCTCAACTCATGGCCCAGGCAGGACTGGGCCTAGTTTGCCAACTCCTGCTGTCCAGTACTTTCCAAGTTTCCCTCATTGACCACATATTATTTTTACAGAAAAAAAAATTATAAAAAATTTAGGAAAGAAGAGAAAGAGAGAGATAATGAGATTGTGTAGGGGCTGAATCACTGAACGGTGCACTCAACATACCTTTTTTCAGTCCCAGCTCAAGGAAACAAGATGTTGACCAGGATAGCCATGGATGGAGATCAGAGAGCAGGGTCAGCCAGGGGCACTGTGGTGGGCCGAACGGTGGCCTCCACAAAAGATACATCCACACCCTAACCCCAGAACCTGTGACTGTGACCTTATTTGGAATAAAGATCTCTGCAGATGGAATTAAGTTAGTGATCTTATGAGATCATCCTGGATTGCTGGGTGGACTCTAAATCCAATGACAAGTGTCCTTATGAGAGACAGAAGAGATGACAGGGTCACAGGAGAGAAGATGGCCATGTGAAGATGGAGGTCAAGACCGGAGTGATGTGGCCACAAGCCAAGGAACGCCTGGAGCCACCACAGGCTGGAAGAGACAAGGAAGGACCCTTCCCTAGAGACTTCAAGGGGGCATGCCTGGCTGACACCTTGATTTTGGATTTCTGGTCTCCAGAATTATGAAGCAATAAATTTCTGTTGTTTTAAGCCACCAAGTCTGTGGTAATTTGTTACAGCAGCCACAGGAAACTCCTATACGAGCCAAAGAGAAAACAAGGCACACCCTAAGACAAGACGCGTGTTAAGACAAAGGGAACCCCCAGGTGGGAGGGAACAGGGGGGGTGAGACTGTGAATCTCACCTCTTTCCTTTACTGCCCAGCTCCCAGCCTGACCACAGATGACCACCTGAGCGCTGTGAGCTGTCAACCCAAGAGCTGTTTATCCACTGCTGGGGGAATTCTGTGGACAGCCAGCAGTCTGGGGAATGGAAGTCAGGAGTCCAGAAGCTTGTTCCTAAGAAGGTGTTAGAACTCCCTAGGATGGTAGATTTTCAGAACAGGATACATGGGCTCAAGTCACACAGACTGAACAAGAATCTCTTTCACAGAGGAAGAGAGAAATCAGGCTTCATTTGGTCTGCTCAGGAAAAAACTCTGCCACGACTCCTTTCAAGACAGCAACTGGCACATCTCGTAGAGAAAGGAGTGTTGATCTCTGACCACAGAGGCCCGTCCGGGGAAGGCTGAGGGGTCAGAGCTCTCAGAAGCGAGCACTGCACGGAGAGCCTTCTGCACCCACGCCCGGGGCTGCATTTCCTGCTTCACTTCTCCCAGCCTCCCCGAGAGGTGAATGCCCTGAGTCTTGTTTCACACACTTAGGCTCACTAAGGCCTCCAGGAACAGAGCTGGAATGTACTAGAATGTGAGTCCAGCTGTGTCTGACTCCGGAGCCTGTGCTGGAGAGAAGTGTGATCCAGTGAAGTGCAGTCCAGAGGGACACACGTGCACACTGACCCCACGACCTCCCTGAGCCATGCTCTCTGGGGATGAGGGCTTTCGACTCTCCCCATGACCTCCCAGGGCCCCAGGAACATCTCTCTATTATGGCCTAGCTCAAGGATGTCACATATTTTTATATGTGAGAAGCCTTCTTTAGACTATGACGTTTTTGGATGCAAAAGCCGTGTCTCATTTTTCTCTGAACCTTCTCAGTGCCTGAGAGACAGTAAGTAATCAATAAATGCTTTCTAAAGAATTCTGGATGGATGGATGGATGGATGGATGGAGGGAGGGAGGGAGGGAGGGAGGGAGGGAGGAAGGGAGGGATGGATGGATGGACAAATGGATGTGTAGATAGACAGGTGGATGCAAGAGTTGTGGGTGGATGGAGGGATAGGTGGATGGGTGAATGGATGGGTGAATGTGTGGTGGGTGGATAAACAGATGGATGAGTAGATGAAGGGATGTGTAGATGGAGAGATGTAAGGGTGGTGGGTGGATAGACAGACGAGTGGGCGGATGAACGGCTGGGAAGATGGGCGGTTGGATGGATGCATAAGTGATAAATCTTCAAGAGGAAGGCAAGAGGCAAGTGGGAGCCTTCCTTTCAAGGCCGCCTTACCCTCTCACTAACACGTTTCAGCAACTCTTCTGCTTCCTCCATTGCTGCCGTCTCCCTCTGGTACTGGTTCTCTGTCTTTTTTCTTGTTTCCAGGTCACACTCAGCCGTCAATGCCACCATCTTCCGATCATACTCCTCTTGTATTTCCTTTTCCAGCAACAGAAACTGCTTCTTGAAAACAGCACCCATCCTCCTTTCTGCTTGAGGGGAGAGGTGGCCACTGCTGGTCAGATTTTTCAGCAGAAGAACAATGATATCTTTGCTGATTTGGGTTCGACAAGCCTCCAGGTCTGAGTCTGCCCGGTTCAGGGTTGCAATCTCCAACCTGGGGAACACAAAGGTTGAGAGGTTTATCCGTTACATAAAATCACAACAGAATCCAAAGTTCTCTCAAAGCTAAGAGGTTTTAAATTATTTGTAGGTAAGGCCTTTCTTTTTTCCTTTTCCCTCCTTCTCTTCCTTTTCTCCCTCCCTTCTGCTCCAGCCAATACTGAAGGCCAATGACTAAATTAGCAGGTTCTTATTCAGTAAATTTTCAGGGTACCAGGCAGGAAATTACAAGGAATATAACTAATATAAGACACGGTCTTTGTCAACAAGCAACAAGTCAACAACAACAAGGAGACCAAGGGAAAAATGATAATATAGTTAATATATTTGGAAGATTTTAAAATAAAGTTAATTTTACTTTTTTTCCAGTTAAAAATTAATTTATGGACATGAAAATTAAATGTAATGTGGTACCCTGGATAGGATCCTGGAACAGAAAAAGGACATTAGATAAAACTAGGGAAATCAGAATAAAGTATGGACTTTAATTAATGATGATGTATCAATACTGCTTCGTTAATTGTAACAAATGTACCGTGTAAGGTAAGATGTTAATAATAGGGGAAAATGGGTACAGGGTATGTGGGAACTCTGTACCATCTTCTCAATTTTTCTGTAACTCTAAAACTGCTCTAAAAATAAAGTCTATTTGAGGGGCCGGCCCGGTGGCGCAAGCGGTTAAGTGCGCGCGCTCCGCTGTGGGGGCCCGGGGTTCGCTGGTTCGGATCCCGGGCGCGCACCGACGCACCGCTTGGCAAGCCATGCTGTGGCGGCGTCCCATATAAAGTGGAGGAAGATGGGCACAGATGTTAGCCCAGGGCCGTCTTCCTCAGCAAAAAAAGAGGAGGATTGGCGGATGTTAGCACAGGGCTGATCTCCTCACACAAAAAAACAAATAAATAAAAAAATAAAGTCTATTTGAGAAATACACATGAGATACTTCACAGGGTCACAGACTCTACAACTTGATTGCCATGGTTGTGGCACAACTATATGCACTTGCAGTAACACATCAGAAGGTACTCTTACTATGGGTGAGTTTTATGGTATGTTAATTATACCTCTATAAAGCTATAAAAAGGTGCATAGGAAAAAATTAATTTATGTTCATGATAGAAAATCTAGAAAATAAAGACAGAAAAAGACTTCATTCACTGTAGGTGCATCACTTAATCAGAACCAATGAAGACATTTTGTTGTATTTGCTTCCAGTTTTTTTCTCTACGCATATTTTTTTCCACCCAAGTACAATTTGGTCCTTTTTGTTCAGTTTACATTGTAACAGGCATCTTCCAGTGGTGTTTAAAAACTATAAAAGTTTCCCTTATGATGGCTGCAAAATATTTCTTCATGCAATGTATCATGATTCAATTAATCATTTTTCTTTCTTTTTTTTTTTAATTTTTTGTTTACTGCAGTAACATTGGTTTATAACATTGTATAAATTTCAGGTGTACATCATTATACTTCTATTTCTGCATAGATTACATCATGTTCACCACTCAAATACTAATTACAACCCATCACCACACACATGTACCCAATTATCTCTTTCGCCCTCCTCCCTCCCCCCTTCCCCTCTGGTAACCACCAATCCAATCTCTGTCTCTATGTGTTTGTTTATTGTTGTTATTATCTACTACTTAATGGAGGAAATCATATGGTATTTGACCTTCTCCCTCTGACTTATTTCACTTTGCATAATACCCTCAATGTCCATCCATGTTGTCCAATTAATCATTTTTCTAGTGTTGCACCTCTGGGTTACTTGAAAATTCAAAATCTAAAAGAACCCCAAAGTAAATGTCTTTGTAAAGAGTTTTTGATATTCAAAATGATTCCTAAGTCCAATTCCCACAAAGGGAATCACGGGTCAAATGTTAGCAACACGTTTAGCCCCTAGAACATCCTGCCAAACCGAATCGCTGTCCAGAAAAGTTCCTCCAGCGACGCAGTAGGATCCTTATTTCACCCAGCCCCCTACAATGTTTAAAAATCTTTGATAATTTTATAGGAGAAAAATGTCTTCTGATTGCAAAAATATAAGGGTCTTAAGAAAACTTTATTAAGTAAATTTTTAAGCATTTAAAAGTAGACAGAATAGTATGACTCCCAATGTAATCATTATCCAACCTCAAAAACTGTCAATATTTACCAACCTTGTTTTATCTACTCCTTTCAATGTTTGAGCATTTTAAAGCAAATCTCAGATTTTTTTATTTTACCCATAAATTCCTCAGTATGCATTGTTAACTGCCATGGATATATATAAATATATATACACACACACTCATGTGCGTATGTATATCTATATATGTGTATAAATGTGCAAATCTATGTCAGTTTTACCTAACCTTGATGTCATTATCATATTAAATAACATATTATCCTATCATATTTAAAATGTTAACAATGATTCCAATAGTTAATATCAGTCATTATTCAAACTACCTCAAGAGTCCCAAAATGACTCTACATTTGAAAGTTTAATTCAAGAACCAAACAATACCCCACAACGTCGGTTAAGTCCACTTTATTCTATAACATTCTGCCCTCCTATTTTTTCTTCCATGCCATTGATTTGTTGGTGAAACCAGCTCATTCATCCTGCAGAATGTCTGGATTTGGCTGATTGCTTCCAAGGGGTGTCTTTTTTCCTCTATCCCCGTATTTTTTGTAAACTACTAGTTACATCTAAGGTCTTGATTAGATTCAATTTGTTTTCCAAAAGGCCTCGTAAGTGGTACCGTGTGCTTCCTATGGGATCATACTTTGGGTCAATGCTAAGATGATGCAACAGGTTCAAGTGGTGCCAACATGATCCCTGCATTATAAAATTTCCTATCAATTTTTCACCTAATGGTTTTAGCATCCATTAGGAATTGTTACCTAGATCCATGATTTCACTAGATGTTGAAAAACGCACATTTTCCAATTCTGTCACTTTTTCTGGATTTTTCAAGCTAGGATTCTTCACAAAGAAGAAGGTGCGCTCAACAATTCAGTTACTCTGAGATAAAGCACATAGGATAAATGTTTGATTCTTTGCTAATTAAAGAGTTGGTGTCATAGCAACCTCTGACAATGACAAATGAGTTTGGATCTGTTTATTTGTTTGTTTTGTTTTACTATGAGGGCAAAAGGTTAATAAAATTTTTTACAACTCCCTGAGAACCTGAGCTGTGGTTAACTTTTACCTGGAAACCTTATAAGAGGAAGACTGTCAACTATGTTACTAGGCAACATAGCTTATGGTAAAAATGACACCTGGTTGGTTAATTACACCTGGATGGGAGGACCTGTAAATGAACCACAAATACCCAACAGGGAAGCCATCCTTTGAATCTCCCTGAGTGAGGTGGTTCTTGGAACTGGGCATGTCCCTGTGGGAACCCTGGAGGCTATGCCTGTGATTTGTTACAGGAGATAGTGGTACCTGTGGACTGTGACGCTTTTAAGCCAGGAAGGCTCCCACACCTGCCTGACGTTGACGGCATCTCCTTGCACCAGAGCTGCGTCACTTGGGGAGAAAATATCTTCCGGACAGCTGTGTAAGTTGCAACGTGACCTGAGGCAAGGATACCCACAGAAGAATGCCTAACACCTTGTCCTCAGGAACTGGGTTCCCACCCTCCAGCCTTTTGCATAGATGGGGTCAAAGGTGGCCTTAGGGAGTCTTACGAGTCCAAATATTTAGCTGATCCTCGGAAGACCCCCACCTCTGCAGAGCACTCCTATGAAATTGCAGATCTTTATACAGTTGGTGGGTTTCGATCAACGGCAGCCATTATTCTTTTTTTTTTTTTTTTTTTTTTGGGTAAGGAAGATCGGCCCTGAGCTAACATCTGCCAATCCTCCTCTTTTTGCTGAAGGAGACTGGCCCTGGGCTAACATCCATGCCCATCTTCCTCCACTTTATATGGGACGCCGCCACAGCATGGCTTGACAAGCGGTGCGTTGGTGCGCGCCCGGGATCCGAACCGGCGAACCCCGGGCCGCCACAACGGAGCACGCGCGCTCAACCCCATGCGCCACCGGGCCAGCCCCTCCATTATTCTTTTTAATGCTCAAATTTGACCATCTTGGATCAAAATGCTTCCTGTGTCCTTTAGACACAACCAAATTAGTCTGGTTTTAAACAACAGCTTATGCATTTCATTCTTTCATTGTCTCAACAAGTACTTACTGAGCATGTGCAGAGAGTGTTTTGCAGGTGACAAAGCAGGAAAGAAATAGAAGAAACGCCTCTAGGCAGAGTGTGCATGGTTAAATACCCCATGAACCAAACAGACAATGTTCCACGGGCTCAGAAAAAAATTACTTCTCTACTGAGACAGACAAAATAGATTTCACACCTTTAATGAAGCTTTTTGTGGTAGGCAAAATAATGCCGCCCCCAACAATGTCCATGTGCTAATCCCCGAACCCGTGCATATGTTAGGTTACGCGGCAAAGGAGAAATAAAGTTGCAGATGGAATTAAGGCTGCTAATCAGCTAAGCTTACTTCGAGAGATTAAGAACAAGGGTCTTTAAAAGTGAAAGAGGGAGGCAGAAGAGGAGTGGGAATCACAGGGAGATGAGAGGAAGGAAGCAGGGGTGGGAGTGATGGGATGGTCAGCTTTGAAGACGGAGGGAGGGGCCCCGAGCTGGGGACTGTAGGCAGCCTCAAGCAGCGGGAAAAGGCCAGGAAACGGATTCTCCCCTAGAACCGACATCTTGATTTATCCTAGCGAGGCCCATGTTGGACTTGGACCTCCAGAACTGTAAGATAATACATTTCTGTTGTTTTAAGCCACGAAGTTTGTGGTAATTTGTTATAGCTGGATAGGAAACTCACACACCTTACCCGACCACTCCATCCATCATTCACTCATTAATTCATTTATTAACTCACACAAGAAAATGTGCCTGTGTGAGTCAATTGCAGGTGCCTTACTGGGTCTGAAATGAATAAGAGGACATCTCTGTAGGTCTCTGCTGTCAAGCCCCTTACT